CTGCCTCTGACATCAGCACCGCTGCGAGCCGAGAGCTCATTCGGGGCGGAGTCTGGAGGGCCCGCCCACCGCAGGCCCCGCCCTTCCCGGGGTAGCGTGAAACCCCGGGCGCAGCACCGTCCCCCAATCACACTCGCCGTCCCAGGCGGTCGTGACCGCCCTCTGCCTGCACTCCGGGGCACGTGGCAGGCAGTGCGCCACTGCAACGTCACTCGTAGATTCATTCATTCATTTGTCCATTCATGCCGCAGACACCCGCCGGGCTGGTACACCAGGACACAACATGGGCGGCGCCACTCCCGGACCTCGGGTCCCTCCGCATCCTCCGGATGGACCAGCACAAAAAACAAGAACGAGGTCCACGGAACCAGGCCCCCTGGAGTGACCTGGTAGGGATGGAGCCAGAGGGGACCGGGACCCGCCTTCCCTGTTCAGGCCGCAATTCCGGGTGTCCACCTTCTACAAAAACCAAATCCACTGTCATCGTGTGAGAGATCAGTTCTAATCTTATAAGTCACCCAGCTGTGGTGTCTGGTGACAGCCCCAGGACCCTCCAACACTATTTGACATAGGAACTCAGCAGGCACTCCTCAGGGATTGTGAAGCCAAGGGCAAGATCCAGGCAGCACCAAGGGAACGGGGATATTTCTGGTTTGTGCTGAGGCCCGGATTTGGAGGGGGCATGCTTTTAAGGCCCACCACTAGGCTATATGGAAGTGGCGGCTCAACTCACCCCCATGCCAGCCAAAACCAACAGATGCGCCCAGTCACACATGGCCGCCCCTGTCTTCAGATCTGATCTTCCTGCGTGTGAGCAGGCTAGGTACCCCTCCTTTCCACACCACCAGGCACCGGAGGAAATCTGCAGTCCTCATCTCCCTTGGTCCTGAAATGGCAGGCATCACCCCATTTTACAGATGAAGCCGCTAAGCATCTAAATGTAAACAGGTTGGGACCCTTCCTTCTGCTAACACCTGTCCAGCCATGGGAAGGCAGCAATGAGTTCAATCAGACAGGGAGCACAGAGGTATCCCCTTCAACCCCAGGTCTGCGCTTACAAAGGCACATGGAAGTCAGGAGGTGACTGCACGAATCCCCTCCCACCTACATTGCCGCTCTGCTCCCACCAGCATGACCTCATGACACTCCACGGTCACGCTCCATCTACTGAGAGCACCTGCCCCCATATGAATACGGAGCTAGAGCACCCAGGGAGGAACCAGCCACAGCTGTCCTTAAGTACGTTCCCAGGTGGGCTGCCCAGACTCATCAGAGCACGCTGGTCCTCCAAGTGCACCTTGAGTGCATGTGCCTGGAGCTCCAAGACACTGGCTCCACCACAGGCCCCAAGTTGAGCTGCCTACCCCAGGAGGTGGAGTGGGGCAAATGCATAGAGAAGAGAGCCTGGATAAAGAAAGGTGCTGCCTTCCCTGGGAGCAAAAAGTCCCACCTGACTCTACACCCTCTGGTTTCCCAGGTCTCAGGACTCTGTTTCTTGCTCTCCAAGCACAATCGCATTTCTGTACATGGGATCCATCGACTCTACCTGCTGTGCCTGCCCCAAGGCTTGGAGCAGGCCAGCTGGGGCAGGAGTTGAACGCTCGGGCAATGGGGCACCCTCGGCACTGGGCTGGAGGCAGCACTCCAGGATGAGAGACAGCATGGGCAGAGCCCTGCACCGGCCTTAAGCACAGCTCCGCCATTGGCCTCGGTGGCACCACTTTGGGCCTTGGGCCTTTTACTTTTCCATGCCAGCACCATGCTCCCACCACTCTCTCCACACGAATGCCCTTCTCCTTACAGTCCTCAGATTTTCTCATAGCCTGGATCTGGCCGGTCTCCTCCCACCCACCCTGGAGGTGGCTGTTTTTGCTCTGCCCTGCAGGGCACACAGAGGCCAAGCACACTGGGCACAAGCCCAGGGCCTGCCACCCTTGCTCTGAAGACATCTAAGGATGATGGGCCTTCCAGGATAGTTTCCCAGCCCTCCACCCAGCAACGAGGTGCCTCTCATGGGAAGCCAGTCAGCCCTTCCCAGCAGGAAACCCAATACACCCAGCCCCTGCCAAAGCCCACCAAGGCAGAACCTCCTGCTGCAATAAGGAAGCATTTGGGGGATAGCCATTGGATCCAACTGGAAGGTAGAAGCACCCCCCTCCCCAGGGGGTGGGGGATGGGCAATAAAAAAGGGTTCACAAATCCCAAATCCCAAATCCCTAAGCTCAGTCTCAGGACATGGTTTGGCAGGGCTGTGGTAGGAAACCCCTCTTCTCTGGTCCCTATCCCATGCCACCTCTTTCCCTTTGACCCCTTCTTGACTGATGGGCTGGGCCATGAGTCCTAGCATGAGGAGGGGAGTCCCCCCCTACCTACATGTGCCCTTGACCATACTCAGCCCTCTGCCCCTCCCGGCATGCTCCTCCCAGAAGGGTCTGGAGGAGACAGAATCCTGGGACCGGGTTTTGGGAGTGCCATCACTCTACAAACCCCTAAGCTAGATTGGCCTCCTCCTTTAAGTCGCCAGGCTCCTCCCCTAAAAGTGTCCTCTGCCCTCCGACCCGGGCAGGGGCCCCGCTCTGGTGAGCTAAGCTGTGCAGAATTTTCTCAGCTTTAGGGGCTGGAGTGCACCACAAGAGCTCCGATCTCCCCCACGTACTCTCCTTCCCATCCCGACGCGGGGACCAGGTGCCCGAGTCCGTGAAGTCTCGCTTCCTCGCACCCCTGCCCTCGCCGCCTCCCACCCATGAGCGCTCAGCCCCCACTCCACCCTACAAGGCCGGCCACCGGGGAGGCCTCCCCCGCTCCCGGGGGCCCGTGCCTCTCCGCAGAGTCGCGTCACGCGCAGCCGGGACCGCCTGGGCTCCGGGGACAGCGCGCCGACCCCCGCGCCCAGCTCTTGGAGGCCCCGGAGCCCGCGCTCCAGACGGGAAGTGGCGCTCGGTAGATCGGCCAAGGTCATGCACTCGCAGCGGCCAGGGCTGAGGCTCGCACGAGGAGCCCGGGGGCATTACATAAACCGCTCTTACCTGCAACGGGAAGGTGGCGGCACGGTTGCCCACGTAGCCGCGGACGACGTGGCTCTGGATGGAAAGTACTCGACACTCCGGCTCCATGCCGGGCTGGGCGCGCGGCGCCGACGGACGGCGGGGCTGGCGGGCGGGAGAACGGGCTCAGCGCCGCCGCGGTCGGCTCCGCTCGGCTCGGCTCGGTGCTGCTGGGCAGCCGCAGAGACGCCAGGCCGTCTGCGGCCAAAGAGCAGAGGATTCATCTATAGGTCAAAGAATGCTCGGGGCCCCAGGAACCAAGGAGTGACTGCCCAGAAAAGCTTTCCCAGGGCTTTCAGGGAGGACACACCCTGGATTCAAATTCCTGCCCTCCAGGACTGTGAGAGATCAGTTCTAATCTTATAAGTCACCCAGCTGTGGTGTCTGGTGACAGCCCCAGGACCCTCCAACACTATTTGAC